TGGTGCCAAACAAGGACCAAATCTTCTGCAAACAGGGTGAAACATTTCTGTAGTTTCGGTTGTTCACAGGGCCTTAAAGCCTTAGGCATCCAAAGAAAGTAGAAGAGGGAAAGGCAGGGACAGAACCCTGAATAAAGAAGTTAAAATCTTGGCAGATTAAAAGGATCTTTTTTTAAGAGGTGCTAAAATATCACAACACTTGCTGTTTACCCTTTGCATCTATGCTGCAATCTGAGGAGGTGTAAGCTCTGTTTGACACCTTCTCAGCTGATAGGGCATTCAGAACTCTCTGTACCTCGCTTGCTTTTCCTCCTGGCTTGCTTTGTGTGGTACATATACCATGGTATATTTGGCTAACAGAAGAATTTGATGAACTAAGAAAAATGATAAATGGAAAGAAAAAAAAAGAGGGAGAAGGGTCCTGCAGGTGTGGACTGAGAGCAGAAAGCTGAGGGAAAGAACAAGCTGACACAAGCAGTCAGCAAAATCTACCCTTGCAAAATTGCAGGAATTTTCATAGAAAATGTGTTATTTGTTAGAGTTTTTTCAGCTGAGGAAATGAATGACTACCAAACAATTCTTAGAGATAATAATCTGGGTATTTTCAATTTTAAATTGGTCTTCTTTAAAATTAGATTATTATTTTGTAGACCAAAAAATGGTTGCTGGGCAATAATTTATTGCAGAACACCGCACTTCATGAGTAGAATTAATAATTTGCACAGTTGGTGGTAAAAGCAAAGGCAAAAGGCTAGTCACATTTCTTTGGATTATTTTGTAAAGTGAAATTAATTCTTGTGCAAAATATCAGATAAAGGATCCAGAAGCAAAGTCTCCACTGATTTCAGTGAAGCAGAATCCATTCCTGAGCGAGTATCCAGCCAAAACAAATGTGTAGAGCCAAAGTGCCATGGGTTGCTTGCCAAAAGAGTAATACCCCTGCCTAGGAGCCTAGGACAAACAGACTGACCTTTTCAGTCTCTGCCATCTCAAATAAGACTGCCAACAATAATGATACCTAGGGATCAAAATATCCATCTGCTATGTATGAGGCTGAGAAAAGCAGCTATCTGGATGATATTTACAAAGTAATGTGTTTAACTTAGAGTTAAGTGTTTGTCCAAATGCAGAGGAAGGTGTGTCACTCTTGGTGGGGTGTTGTTCATTACTTCATGCAAGGAGGCCACTGTCAGTACACTGTGAACAGAGTGCTGAAGAAGCATCACCCAGAAAATAACAGATATATTCACTGAGAGGGGCAGGAACTAGCCAGGCCTGCTTTGGAAAAGGGTATCAGGATGGCATCCAGAGGCATCTTCCATAGTAAATTATTCTGTGAATTTCTGAACTGGTGGTTCTGGACAGCATTCCCTCTGTCTAGGTCTGGCCCTGGGCACTAAGTGCAGACCACAGGACACCCAGAGCTTAATGGCCAGCAATTGCTGCTACTGCAGCACTAAGGACTCTTCTGGACACTACTCAGTGTCTCCCTTACCATTGCAGAGATGAGAACAATGGTGATTCCAGCTTTTTGAATGCTAACAAATTTAGAACAGCATCCACTGCTCAGACCATCAGCTCATTGCCTCATTTAAACAGATGAAAAAATACAACTTTAAAGTTCTTTAATTTGAGCTGTGACTACTCACTAATAAGACGAAACGTCTTTGGTGAGCTGGAGAAATTACCCTGGTGCAAACTTGAGTTAGGATAAAGAGGAAGATTCCTGCAGCTCCAAGCAATATATGCAAAGATTATGTAAGGTCATTTTATTTTTTCTTCATGTGCATCTTTTTCTTCTAAAGAAAAAAAGCAAGGTTACGTTTTCTCAGATAAGACAAACAAAAAACACTGACAGTGTTCTATAGCTTTAAAAGGGGGAATAGTTTTGAAAAGCATTTAAAAAGATAACATTTGTGAAAACTAAGCCATCTTGCCCCTCTGGGAGCTTCTGCATGTACCTAATAGGAAATCCATTTGAGTCCAGAAATTGAACCCTTGCTTGCGAAGAGTTGATTCTGCCTTTCATCAAACTTCCCCTTTACAGAAAGCTAGGCAGCCTGTGGAAAATAATATTTCATTTAAAATATATCTTACTATTGTACCTCTTCAAATCTTTGCAAATTTATATTTATTCTACTATCACAAATAATTTCAAATAATGAAAACTAAAGGCACATATTAGAATGAAACTGTAGAAAACCAAAATATAATATAGTGCATGTATTCCACAAGGTTGTTCTTAGACTTACTTATGCTCTTAAACACCTGCAGTGATGTGTTTTTTGTCTGCTTTGACATTAAACAGCTCTATAAACACAGGTTATATCAAAAAGCTTCTGACAACTTGAACGTGAAGTGTCATTCTTTGTGCTCACAATTTCTCTTAAATCTAATAAAAAATAAGACTGTGTTGGTCCACCTTGATGAGCAATGCCTTTAATTTTCCTAGTGAAATGTGACCTTTTAAGCAATAAGCAGAGTATAGTGTAGATATTGTTGCCAATAGATGTTTGGAAAATAAGGAGTAGGGAAGGGATTGTACTCTTAATTCCTGGATTAAGCAAAAAACTACTGTGAACATTCTCAAACAGACACACTGTACTTGTGTATTTGGCAGTATTTTCTACCCGGGGAAAGAAAACTTGGTGATTCTCCACAGCTTGACATGAACTTAGATAAAATAACTTTACTACTTCTTAAAGAATCTAAGAAAGTGCAGTGTTAGCCCAGTGTTAGTAGCCTAAATTAAAACAACAGAAGATTCCAACTGTATTGCTTGAAAATGCTGACCCTTCTCTAGGCTAAGGCTCACTGAGCTTCTGTTCCCAGAATGGGGACATCAAGGGGTTACACAAATAGTTCCACTTCCACAGCTATTGGAGAGGAGTCATCCAAACAACTTAATACCCTCCACCTCCAGAGAAACTTTATTGAAACATAATGTTAATCAAGAATCTCTTTTCCCAACCTGACCTCTTTCTCTTGATCAATTCAGTCAGAGAAATGGAACTGGTTTATTTTTTATACCTAGCCCAACCTTCTCTTTGTTCTTCAATTTGTAAATGTGTCAAATATAATTAAAACTGACAGAGGCCAAGATCAAATCAAACAAAATGTAAACATTGTTTGTGTTATTTGGTTGATGCAAAGCTTTCACTGTAAAATGCTTTTAGATAAATTAATTCAGCTATGAGATTGCAGCAGCACTGAAACTTTGCTCCAACTGTTTGAGCTTTTCAGGGACACTGTCAGGTCATCTTAGATTCAAAACCTAATACATAATTGGGATTCTGAAATTGCCTAAGCGAATCAAGTACCTGACTTCTGCTGAAAGTTGGTATGTGGTGGGAAGTTAATTGACTTCCAGCAGGAATTGAATGCCTTTAAAGCGTCTATTCATGTCCTTGCAAAAAGAGGCCCATGTCCCTCACGGAGATAAATGAATGTAACTGCTTTCACAAACACCTACCAGCAAAGTACATGATACACATATTTTACAAAACTTAAAGTAGCAAGAAAACCCTAAGAGCTACCTCTACTGTAATTTGATTGTATTTTGGTTAGCACTAGATATTACCTTTCAATGTAAAATAATTATACTGTTCAATAATGGTATTAATAATTTGTGGCATAACTATAAAGTTAAATTTCAGAAGATTGCTCCCTTAAGGACTTTCAGTTTCAGCCTGGCAGATTCAACTTACAGTTTAACCCATGATTTTAGTAGTACACCTCACCTTTTAAAGTGCAGATTCAGAATCTCAAGGCATCCAAGGTTTTCCTTCAAGCGTTTTTTGCCTTAAAAACCTCACCCCCATATCTCAATAGCCACCATGAAAATTCATGGCAGGCAATAAACTCAGTAGTTTTGAAAACAGATATCTGCTGTTGACCGAGATTTTAGCGTTAAGTAATACAGCATTAAAATTTACACTTTGAAAAGTTTTGAAAAGCTTTGAAAATACTATCCTGACTATCCCTGACTATCTCCTTTAGTTCCTCATTACTACTTTAAAAAGTAATGCAAGAAATGTGATGTTATGTGTATTTGTATTGTAATTTACTTTTCACACAGTAAAAGGGCATTTGTCACTTCCTTGTTAAATTCTGCTCTTTGTTTGGTATGTGAACAAATGTATCTCCACTTGTTTTGCAAATTTAATATCTTGATACTACATTATGAACAGAGCTTTTGGGGATTTCTCTCTTCAATGCCTTTAGAAAAACAACTGTAGTAGTACAATGGGACTGTAGTAAGAAATTTCTCTCTCTGATCTTAAAAGTCTTATTTATCTTCAGATATTCTCTAAGAATTCTACAGTCTCCTTGGCAAAGTTACTCATTCAATGCTGAGTGTGGCTGCTGTAAGGGGAGCTCAATGACAAAGTCAGATGCCTCTTAGGGACAGGATGATATCATGGTACAAGATAGGACAGGAACAGAATATGCTGGTCCTTCATCTCTGGTAATTGACATCTGAATAGAGATGCTTAGTGCAGCTATTCCCTTGTTATCTTCAGTGGATATGAAATCCAACCACAAAACTAGCACAGAGAACTTGCACCTGGCAGGCTTGGGTCATGAGGAAGGCAGTACTTGAGTGGGCAGAAGGTCAGAGCTGATCAGTGAAAACAGAGCTAGTGTACACCAAAGATTTCTCACAGTCTTGTCAAGTCTCTTTGATAAAGACTATTTGTCCCTTGCTTTCATAACCATAGATGTTTCCAGACCTATTGAAATAGCTGACAAAGATTCCTCTGTGGTAATGAGAAACCCAGGCTGGTTATCAGAAAGAATGGAAGAGAGCAACACAATTGTCTCATGTCCTGAAACCATCTGAAGATCCTCTTAATGATTGCAGAAGCAATGTGTTCTGTTCTATACTATTTCTGCTAGTTGGCAGAGGAGTATATCAGTAACAATGAGATCACTTACAGGCAGTGAACAGAGGGGTTTCTGAATTAATTTGGAAAGAAGGCTTCAGAGCAGTACTTCTCTGTTTTTATAGCCAGGTATTTTTATTCAGTGAGATGGAGACGAAGGGATTTAAAAAAAAAAGTGTAACAGTATAATGGATCTTGGGTACCATGATTTCATCTGAAATAGCTCAATGGCAATTTTTGGTAATACACCCCCCCCCCCCCCCCACCAAAGATAAATAAAACGGCTTTTCTCACAGAAGTTAGGGTTTGGAAGCTGATTCTGATTTTACATGGATGCAAATATGAAGGGATACTGTTAAGACTACTCCATTGCTGCACAGATGAGTTGACAGATATCAGAATTTGGACGGATTACTTCAGCTTGAAGCTTTCCTTGTAATTAAGAACAGCAGGATTTGACTTTAAATCAAGATTTTTATCCTTAATAATGTAAAAAGAGCTTGCAATCTTTTCACTAGTTAAGTACATTTGTTGAATATCTGGGGTTAGCTTATTATATGAAAGGATTCCAAGCTTTTTTTTTCAAATTCAGATATTGATAAAATAAGTATACAAATGTTATCCTACCATATTAGAAACCCAAGTAAAAGAACTCTAGGCCAGAATGAAGAAAAAGGCTGTGATATTAATTCCTAATACAAATTGAACTGAAGAGGTTATCTGCATTGTTCTGTATGAGAGAACTACAAAATGATGTTCTAAATTTCCTAATATCACAGCGTTCTGAAAGGCTTTCCAGCTGTGAGAAAACATTTAGTCCTAATTCATACACTATTCTTTCCAGGGGATGGGGTCCTTTGTGACCAATTCTGCTTATTTACACTCTCATATACTGTTTAGCTTTCATGTGTTGTATGTTTAAAGGTGAATCAGGAATTCAGCCCAGTCTTCCTTAAATTCTTGGTCGATTTTATGTTAATTTAATCCCTTATTTCTCTAGCTACCTAATACAAAGGATAATTTCACTGTCATTAAAGATCACTTTTTTCCTGTTTTCATGATCTTCTTACTGTAATTATTCTTCTCATTGAAATTTCCTTTCTAGTCATAATGAACTCTCAGAGCATTTCATTGAGAAAAACTGTGAGTTCAAACATTTTCTATTTCCCTAATCAAGACCCTGTCATTATTATCACTGAAAGCCAGAGAAAGAGATGAAGAATGACAGAGATACACGAAAGAGAAAAAGGACACTGCCAAAGCGATTCTGTGATCACAGTGATTTATAACAACACTCTGGATGCTGGCATGGCAATATAATTGCACACTAAAGCCTGTTGTGTAAACTCAGCTACCGGTTGCATTACACAATGCTGATGCTTCAGTCACAATTGAGGCAAATATAAACAGAAATTTGGAAAGTCTTTGCTATTGTGGAATAATTCATACCACTCATCAGTATGTCAATTTTCAATTTAATTTGACATTTTTAAAACAGCCACAGTGATTCCATTCTAGAAGAAAAAGTATCCTTGGAAAATAATCATGTTTTGCAAATGAAGAAAAGAAAACAAAAGGAGGATAAATTTTTATTCTATCACTTTTGACAGTATCCTCTCATAGGAAAGACGAAATAAATTCTAAAGGCAAAATTCTCTCCCCATTCACATTTAATAGCTCCAGAATATATCCACCAACTTCCATACTATTTTCCATTAAATTAAACCTGCAATATCACAGTCAGATTCATCTTTTGGTCTCAGATAAGTAAATTCCAGCAAGCAGGCATGATGACAGCAAGACAGAAAGCTCCAAACAATCTCTGAATTAAGAATGTGTTCAGTAGACACACTTGGAGATTTCGTATCCTGAAATCTGTATGTCACATAACGGAGAAGAACAGGACATGGAAATTTTATCTGAAGGCTAAATTAAAATGCCCCCTCAGTAACCTGCGTGAGGAGCAGAATGATGGGGAAGAAGGAAGGTCGGGACTGCTACAATGCAAAAACATTAAGTGACAGCCCCCAAAAAAGTCAAGAGGTCTTCCATCAGGAGGTATGCTCTTCACATCATCCCACCCTCTGGTCGTGCTCTCTCCCTAGCTATTTCACTTGATTCACGTTGTTTCAATACCTGTTGAAATGATTCACACCGTTTCACTGTTATTACTGTTACTATTTTACCTATCCACGCTTGTCTCTGCCAATCTGTTATTCATAATTGCTAAGGCTCCAACCCCACCAGAGAACCCATTTTGCTTCGAGTTCGAGCTCATTTGCCTTGGATACCCATTAGCAGTTTCTGACAGCTGTTTCTGCATGATGGCCAGTGAGACTTTATTGGAGGCCAGGAAGTCTTTCATGGAGATCATCTCTCCTGACAGACGGCGTCCATCGGTGTCACTCTCATTGACAGCGTCAGTCTCGATAGAGATGTTTCTCCGGCTGCGCACATTTCCTGGCATTACCACATTCCTCCGGGAACGAAATAATCTTCTTTGGCATCTGTGGCAGCACTTGCAGGCGAACTTCTTTAATATCCAGTTTATGGATTGCTTGATGACAATAGAGATCACATTAAATAAGGAATAGATGCAGCACACCCCCATGAGTATGAAGACAAAGTTGCCAAAGCGGTAAAGGCCTTGGCTCTCATACCTGATGTTCTGGCTACTGACCAGATCACCAAAACCAATGGTGCTGAAGGCCACAAAGCAGAAGTAAAGTGAGTCAAAGTAACTCCACCCTTCAATCGGTGTGTACATTGCAGAGGCACAGCAGGAAATGATGAGGGATGCTACACATAAAATCAGCATAACATAGTACACAGAGGGCTTCCAGCCCGCCAGGCTGTCCACCTCCGAGCTCCCCGAGCCCCGGCGGCCGTTGTGAGGGAGAACCCCTTTCCTCCTCAGCTGTCTCTCGTGGCAGGACTTCATGACGTAAGCTATGACAGTGATCAAGCGTTCCAGGAACAGGTTAAAGAACAAAATGGTCCCTGCACATCCTATAAGGCCGTAAAATATCAGAAAAATTTTGCCTCCAATGGTGGCTGGGGTGGTCATACCAAACCCTGGAAAACAAAAAAGAACAGTTGAAAAAAATAGACCCTGTTAGGACTTTCATCACGTGCAAGACCAATGAACTGGTAGCAATTCCCTGTGGTACAGCTCAACTTTGAGGAAAAATACATTCTCCCCACATGTTACCCACTTGTGCTTGACTATGTCTGAACTGTAAGGGGAAGGAACACATGCCAGCATTTCCTCCGCAATCAGAATGAAACAAAAAGCAGAACAAAAAACATGGACAGGAAAAGGGATTTTAGAGGAGGTCTGAATTTTGGTTTGGTTGCTAGGTTCTCTCGTTCTCTGTGCTCTGGATCGTTTCCAGGCTTTGGGGTTATTGCAGCTGCTTTCTTCTATCTGATGCTTTTCTGCACCATGGCTCTTTCCCAGGGGATGGCTGTTGCCTTCCGGAGATCCATCTGCACTAAGTCTTTGGAATACAAGGTGACATTTCTCACAACTCCTGGTGTTAGTGCAGGTGGCACATAGCCCAGCACTCAGCACCCACTGTAGCCTGGCTGTGGAAGCCCAGGCTGGGAGCATACATCAGACGACATAGCCCTGACAGGACTGTGAGTGTCCCAGTAGGAGTTAAAGATGCCCTGCATCTGACTTGGCTCTCACTCATTATCAACCCCTTTTAAAATCAGCATTGCTGAGATTTTTTCTATTTCTCTGCGTCCCACTCCACAGCTCAAGCCTGCATGTGGATCATATCAAAAGTCTCCTCTGGTCTATTCCCTGTCATGGGATTTCTCAGGCCGGAGGTGCTTTAGTCTACTCTCAAATATTTCCCATCCTAAAGCCTGAAAATAGTAATTTTGTTTTGGTTAAGGCTGCTGATAAGACAATCTTACTTTAATAAGATATTATTAAAGAATAAAAAGATGTCCAGAACATCATTAAGCAAATTGGAATAACACTCATGACAAATCTTTGCTAGTGTTTTATTAGGATTATTGAAGGACTACATAACTGACCAACTAAGCAAAAACATTTTTGTTGACAGGGCAAAAAATTCACAGGAGACACTGGGTTTTTTTTCTTTCTCTTTGTAACTATGAGATGTCAATTATGAAATAAAGGCATTAGGCTCTAAGAAATAAAGGAAAATATAATCAGTATACATTTGTACTTCAAAGATAAGACAAGAGCAATGTGAAAAGACCGTATTTCCAACAGTGCCAAACTGCATGTGTCTTCCCTTCACTGGCAACCTGCTGCTAGCACAAATTCCTCTCTAACACTGGTCCTGCCTCACACTGTGAAGTGTCAGCCCTCACCCTCACCCCTCCAGCTCGAGCTCCACTAACAACAGCTCCAAGTGGGCTCTCCAGGGTCACTGCATTTTTGCCTGCATCCACAATCAAACATCAAGTGGTCTTACAGGAGGCTCCAGCCTCCTCGTTACATTTCTGTGCTAGAGAGAGCTGGACTGCAGTTCTGTGGTGTGGAAAACAACATGACAAGTGACAAACCACAGACAAAACATTCTTCACAGCAAGAACTTTTTCCTGTTGTTGCCTTTGGCACACAAATATTTCCTCTTGCTTTCCACCCTCCCTTTCTGTTCCATGACTTGATCCCTCTATAATTTTAGTTTTAATGATTATTTTTGGTGCAGGTTGGCTTATATGCAAGTCATGACCTCCATTATATGAACAGACACAAAAAAAAATTTGATAAAAGGAATCTCTCAGCAGCTGGTGAGATCTGCCCAAAGAGGGAAGTGATGGGCTGCCATGTTCCTGCCCCACCCTGTTCCTTGAAGAAGGGAAGTGGCTGTAGGCTGAGCAGAGATGGGAAGGTGGGGAGCCCCTGGCACAGGGTCAACAGCATTTAGGGACTGGCAGGCATCTCCTAAAGCATAAAGCAAATGCCCTGGAAAGAGAAATGCAGTTAAGGCTCACACTCCCAGAGCAGCTCTATGCCTTTGGGCTGCTTGCCACACGTCTCTCTTGGGATCCTGACACTGACATCATGGCCAGAGTCTGAACTCCTCAGGTTGTTTCTCTGGCCAATTGGATTTTGTTGCTGGGTTTGTTCTGTAATCCACTAGCAAAGGCTTTACAAAAACACTCAATAGGCATTCCAGGGAATCATGGTGAACTATGAATAAATGACTTAGTGAGCAATTAGACTACCAAGGTGACCCATAGAGCACAACAGTGAAAGAGCAAGAAATTACATCGCAGATTGGGAAGCAAATAGTGCCTCCAAATATTGTGGTTTGTTTTTTTCACCTATTGCTTAACCAAGAATTCTGGGTTTTTGCTGAATATTCATATTAATTCTGAATTTCTCAGTAGCAGATCTACTTTCTTAGGAGTAGGAGGAAATTTAAACTCCAAGTAGAGCCTGCAAAATTCTTCTCGACACTGCACACCTCCCGTGGGAAACAAATTTTTAGATTTTGTTTTGGCAGCAAAATTTTATTATGAAGTCTGGTACTGCAAAGCACTCTAAAATTCACCTGTGTGTTCAGGTTATATTGTGTGGTATCCAAAATTGTACACTTACATTAAAAAAATCAACTAAAAAGGAAATCACATTGACAATATAATAAAATCACACTTCATTATTTCTTGAATGACTAGGTATAAATGGAGAAAAGCAAGCAGCTGTAATTCTTATCAATAACCAGTTTGATAAGAAGGACTGAGGAAGTTCTAAAGCAGAATCCTCGGACAACCAACAGTGAATAACATCAAGCAAATATCAATCTCAATCTAACAGTAAAAAGATTATATTGATATCTAACAAGAGGAAATGGGCATCAACTTCCTATTCCAGGCCAATATTAGGTAATTTCATCTTTTCTGTTGCAAACTGCTCCAGTGCTACCAACTGCTGTAAGTGTTTCTTGTGGGTCATTGCCCACACTCATCTCCCTCTGGTGACACATGGTTTGGCATTTTGTTTTCCTGGTGCCCCTGGTGCCATGAGAAAGTATGAGAAACAGTTCATCAGTCCTAATCCCTCACGAATGAAGCCTAGGGCGCCCCATATAGTGTGTGTGTAGGGAGACTGGGACAGACCTACAGATTTCACAGTTAATTTTAGATCATGCAATCGGGTCTTTATTTTGTTCCAAAAAAAAGCCCTCTCTTTTCTGAGAGGTTTCATTTCCTTTCTGAATGTGTGCAGTTCACTGCTCCTACCCTTCCCACAAAGAGGAAGTAGGTAGAAAGAGGGGGCAACACTATAGCAACGAGTCATTGTGATGTTAGAAATACAAATATCAACACAAAACAGCATTCCAGTTTAGCCTACAATGAGAGCTCTTTGTGATCTTGTGTCTGTATTCCTAATGCATTTTATGTTTATTTCTTTATCTCTGTCAGTTCAGTTTAGACACTCACTGGAGAAATGAAGAATTTCCAGTGAACTAGACAATGGATAACAATTTAGATTAATGATAGGTGTGAACCAAATTAAATAGGACAAAGACTTTCAACTACAGTGAAAAGAAATCAAGAAAATAGTAATTAGTAAAGAGAAATACAAGAAGTCTTAGATACCTGCAAAGATGCTGACCCTCCTTTTTTCAGACACATTCTGTACTGAACAATCCACGTAAGAATGTTTTATGCTTCTAAAAGAGAGAGAAGAAACAACTCTAACAGAAGCTGTACTTCAAAGACTCCTTTGAGAAAATGTCCTGTACTTTGCAGTGTTCCAACAGTGTGCAGACACCAATATTTAGGCTTATGACGGGGGAAAAGGCTTTTTTTTTTTTTTTTTTTTTTTTTTTTTTTTTTTTTTTTAATTTTGAAAGCAAACATTTATTCTGTGGTGGGGGGCGCTGATGGGTGGGCACTTGGGGAAAAGAATCTGAGTTTGTCAAACAATCATAGAATTACAGAATAGTCTGGGTTGGCAGGGGCCTTTTAAAATCATCTCATCCAGTCCCCCTGTCAGGGGCAGGGTCACCTGTTAGACCAGGTTGCTCAACTTGAATAGTTCTGGGATTATTCAAAGACTATACCACCTACCAAAAAAAAGCATTTTTGCCACCAGGTGCAAACATAAGACAAACATAAGATACCATAACAAAGGAAAAAAATCAAAGAGATGTGACAAGAGTAGAAAGCACAGTGAATTTTGGCTCAGTGAAGAGAGTAACTCATTGCTGAAACCTTATGCTGGCTTCTATCCACACAACAGCAACGTGTGTACCTTTGTTTTTGAAATGTCTGGCTTTCCCAAAATGTAAAAGGATGCTAAGTCTCTGGCTCATGAATGTCCTAAATCTAATGCATATGTCCCTTCCTATGAAGCCAGAGATGCTCTTTTAGTGACAGCTCTAGTGGCAAATTTCTGTAAGACAAGCATAAATTAAGTGATCAAGTCTACTCACATGATTTTAACAGGTCCAAACATTTATGTAAAACAGGACCCATTTGTAAATTATGACAGGGAGGTTCAACACTCTGCTACTCCAAATCCTCCACAGTAACATTGGCTTGCTGTCAAAGTGTTGTGCCATTGCAAATATAAAAACACCCACAACACAGCACCTATTTCAGGGGATGAATATCTTCTCACCTCTCTGGGTGATGATCAGTTCTGCACTCTGTGCATCAGGCACATGCAAAGTCTCAGCATTTGCCTTACCCACGCAAACAGTTAAACAAGGACAAGACAGGCGTGCAGAGGAGGGGAGAACTCAATGAGATTACAGCAAGATGTTAAGGAGGAGTTAAAAGCTACAGAGCTAGGCATTTTCTGATATAACTGAACAAGCAATGTACTATGGCCATCCCCAAATCAGACAGAGACTAAGGTTGGAAGGGACCTCTGGAGACTGGGCCTCCCTTGCATGGTAGGTGCCCAGTGGATGGGAATTCATCTAGAAGATAACAAGGATCTCTGGCTTTCCAGCCAGACATTTATTTATAGATTGTGGAAATTTAGATCAAACTTCAATGCTGTCTGGAAACCAAAATGTTCATATATGCAAAGATGAAAGTGCAATGAATCCTTTCAGAAGTAAAATTGTGAA